AATTTTTTGGGTAGAAAAAAATAAAAAATTGTGTGACGCCGCTTATGTAAATTTATCAAACTTTAAATATGAGTCATGGCTAGCTTAAAATCATTAATTTGACTATTAGATATATTTATTGAAGAGGGCAGCCTCAAAAGGTTTAAAGCCTAACAGTTCTCTTTACAGCTTACACATGAAAGGAAACTGAGAAAGAGAAACAAAGATATGTTGTAGTATATAGAAGTATAAAATATAAAATAGAAGAACGATCTTTGAGGACACGAAAAATAGAATGAGAAAATTCACAACACAAAACAGTAACACGGCGAAACACACAGATTTACGTGGTTCAACAAATTGTCTACATCCACGAAGTTGTAGAGGATTTTACTACTTGACGAATTTATATCAGTCGATCGTCTCAACTTACAAGAGAGATCTCTCACTTCCTTGCTCTCTCTTCTTCTCTTTTTACATCGAGATACACTGAAGAAGATAAACATAATAGAGAAATAAATTTAATTTCTCTTCTGCCACAAGCGACCAAGAAGAAGCCAAAGGAGAACAATTTTTTTTCTTCTGCCGCAAAGAACTACTGTTTGATCATCTCTTTCTCTATCTCGAGGAAGCTCGAAGAAGAACACAAAAGAGGGTCATGTTATTTCCTTTCTTCCTCTTCCGCAAAGCACGTTGAATCCCTCTCGAATCTCTTACATGTAATAGTTGATAGCAGAAGATGATTCGGAGGAGGGTCCTCTTCATTACTTAAAGAAGCAGAGGGCGACGTTTCACAAATTGTAGGCGAGAGCAGTTCGCAAAACTATAAGGTCGCAGTCGCGACCATCGGGAATAGGGAGGCGGTAGCGGAATTGGGAGGCGGGATCGGGCTCCAGCTAACAAATCTCGCACTTGGAGATCGGTACACATGCTACAACGTCTTCTTCCTCAAACTGATATCCTCCACTAATGGCGTCGCTCTTATCTTCAAACATGAATCCTCCATCTCTGCAACTCAAAGTCTTTGTCTTCACACTAGAAGACTAACTGAAGTTGTGCACAACTTCAGTTTCGCAAGAGTAACACCCTTAGTCAACATATCAACATAGTCCACATAGCTTTGCACCTCCAAGCTATTTTCTATGTTACTCTCATCTCTGATTACAACTCTCACTGCATGGGCAATATCCTGTCTCTGCTGAAAGTCTTTTCCAACAAGTCTAGCCTTGTACCTCTAATTGCTAGCATGCTCACTCTTCACCCGGTACACCCACTTGTTATGTAATATTTTCTTCTCTAGTGGAAGTTCTGTCAACTCTCACTAGCTCGAACTTTCATCTTGCAAGATTTTTTCATAGCTTTGTGGTTCTCCACCATTTATCTGTGGAACAATAAGAATGGGTGTCTCAGACCCACTTTGCTCTTCACTTTCATCGACAACATAACTATGAACTGCCAGCAATAGTGCATCCTGTAATTTTTCAGATACCACATTTTCGCTATAATTCTTCATCTTCTTGGGATTCTTGCAGTTCCTCTTTATGTGGCCAGCCTTGCATAATTTCAGCAGGTTGTCTAATGACCGACGTTGATTTTGATCTCTCTCTATTTGAGTTTTTGTCCTGCCATCTCTCTCTGAAATAAACATTAAGTGTCGAACTCATACCTGAGATCTTGTCAGAAATTTTCATGTGCACCTTCTAAGCCAAAATCAAATTACAAATATCATCACATTTCAGTTTAAATTTACCTGCAGGAATATTAATTGTCATCGTCATGGCTTTCTAACTATTTGACAATGATGTCAACAATATCAACGCACTTATCTCATCATCAAAAATAATTTCAACAGACGACAAATGATTTGTGATGGTATTGAAATCATTCAAGTGTTAAGCAACAGTAACATATTTCGTCATCTTCAAGTTGAATAGCTTCTTCATCAGATATATATTTTTATTTGCCGATGGCTTTTCATGCATACCTGATAAGGCTGCCATGTGATTTTTAGTCATCCTCTCCTTGACGACGTAGTGTGCAACGGACCTCGATAAGGTCAATCGAATGACTCTCAGAACCTGTAGATCCAACAAATTTCATTCAAACTCATCCATCATTTCAGGTGTTTTTCCTAATAACGGAAAATGAAGCTTCTTCCCATAGAGGTAGTTATCTATCTGCATCGTCCAACGACCAAAATTTGTGTCATCAAATTTCTCGATCCCTGAAACATTTACTTCACATGTAGTCATCATTATTCCTCAGATCCAAAACACGACTTTGATACATTTTGTTGTGCTATATAGAAATAAAAAATAAAAAATAGAAAAATAATCTTTGATGAAGCAAAAATAGAACAAGAAAATTCACACAAAAAAACAGTAACATGACGGAAAACACAATTTTACGTGGTTTGGCAAATTGCCCACGTCCACAAAGTTGCAGAGTATTTACTACTTGAGGAATTTACACCAGCCGATCGTCTTGACTTACAAAAGAGATCTCTCACTTCCTTGCTCTCTCTTCTTCTCTCTCTACACCGAGATACACCGAATAAGATAAAGTTATTAGAGAAATAAACATAATTTCTCTTCTGCCACAAGCCACCAAGAATAAGGCATGAGAGAGCAATCTTCTTTTTCTTCTTTTGTCTTCCTTCTACTGCAAGAAACTAATGTTCGCAGTTCTCTTCCTCTATCTCAAGGAAGCCCGAAGAAGAACACAAAAGAGGGTCATGCTATATCCTTTCTTCCACTTCTGTAAAGCACGTCAAAGCCCTCTCAAATCTCTTGCCTATAACAGTTGATAACAGAAGATGATTCAGAGGAGGGTCCTGTTCATAACTTAAAGAAGCAAAGGGCGTTGTTTCGTGAATCGTAGGTGGAAGCAGTTCCCGAAACTGTAAAGTCACGATCACGACCTTTCGCGATCGGGAACAGGGAGGCGGGAGCGGAATCGGGAGGCGGGATCGGGCTCCAGCTAACAAGATAAAGTTGTGAGTTTGAAATGTTCCATTTTGTCTAACTCATGATTATGCATCAAATTTTAATTAATGGAAACAATGACATTTGTCACAGACAAATGGAATAGTTCATTACATGTAAATTTATCAGCATTAATCATCCTCGCAGTTGTTGCTGCTTGAAGAATTATAATCTTTGAGACATGAAATTGTCTTCTCCGTTGTCATTGGGACCCAATGAAGCTTAAGGGTGTGTTTGGGGCAGCAACTTATCAACTGCGGCGACATTTTAAAAATGTCGCTTCACTGTTTGAAAAATGTGTTTGAAAAACTTATTTGAAAACTTTGTTTCGCTGTTTAATTAAACATGGGTCGCTGATGGAGCCCCCCGATCCTGCATTTCTTTCTGCATTTTACGTTATTGTCCTCTTCACGTATCTCCTGCCTTCCTTTGACTCTGCCCAAAAACCCTCTCCCACTTTCGCTTCCCCTCGGCTCCGCCCATAATCCCTCGCCTTAATCATCGAAACCCTAATGATACAAGCGCGATTAGAGCTAGTTTGAAAGGCAACTACGGGATTGCATCGTAGAAAGCCCTTCAAAACTCCCATCTTTCACCTGCTTCCTCTTTGCTCCTACCCGAAATCATTGAGAAAGGTAACCCTCTTATTTCACCCCCTTACTCCCCTCTCTTCTTCTTCGTCCTCCCCCGACGAGCTTCCATGGTGTTATTCGACAAATAGGGCTGCGGTGAATCGGAGCCAGAGTAGAGGAAGGACGAAGAGAGCACTTAACCATAGAATTTATTAATTAATTAATGTTAACTATTTGATAACATTTATTTATTTTATCTATTCAAATAGGATTTATTTTAAATTAACTTAATAAATACTAACAAATGCTTAATTGATAAATGATCATATGTTAATTATAAATTAATTTATTGAACTATAATTGAATAGGATAAATAGAAATTAAATTAAAATTAATGCCAAATTTTATTTAAAATGACTAAATTATATTAACATGTATGCACAATGGCAAAATGATAATTTATCTAGAAACAACTGCAAATCAGTTGTTTCCCAAACTCACAATCAAAACATCTAGCCTGCTTATCCAGATCAACTGCAGATCAGCAGCTTACCAGGATAAGTTGGATATGCAGCAGCTGCCCCAAACAGAACCTAAATCTAGGTGCAATGTAATAATTTTTTTGTCTACAATGTCAGCATGACTCCAAATGAACATTTGGAAATGTAACTTGCTATGTTGATATAGAAAAAAAATGGGCAAGATAATGTAAAGTAAGATAATGTAAATTTATCCTGAACAAAAGTTCAAATTGTAAACATGTTAGGCCAAGCTTTATGCGGGCAGATCGTTTTGATTGTTTTGGGCTTTGACTAAGTCAATACAAGCTCCACGATCACCAAATTTCTTTTTTTTTTACCGCCAAGTCTGCTCACAGTCTTATGGCGAGCCCGTCGGGCCACCCACCTAATGCCAAAATCTAGATATCATTAAAGTCATAAACCAAAAAAAATTCTTGACTAGAATCTCGTGTTGTGCTCTCAACTAATATGCTATGGTGGGTCTAGAGCATAGCACAACTAATGTTATTTAATAAATATCGAACTATTTCATAAATTAACATATTATTAAAATATTATAGTATTTTTTTAACCTTTTTAGTTATTTTTTTTCTTAAGAATTGCTTGGTGGCAACTATTAGGACAATAATGCAAAAGGAAAAAAAAGGTGTAATTTAATTTGTTATTTGATTTGAATTAAAGTCAGCACCATATACTTTTGTGAGGGATTTGAAATGCTCAAATAGTGTATTTTTTTATAAATTTATATTCCCTTTCAAATTGATAAATAACAAATACAGAAAAAAACAACTCGTCATCCTTCCGACCATTGATGACGCGGCATCTCACAGAAAGCACGAAGGGGTCCATCACCCTAACAGAATTCCGTTCGAGAGTCCGCGTTGTGCGACTTGCCGTCCGATGTACGATCGAGCGGTCAGGATCCTCCACCCGCCAGTTTTGCGCAAACATCTCAAGTTCTTAGCTGAGTTCGCAGTATAAGTTCCGTCCTTTTTGGCCGAACTCGATACCTAGAAGAAGAAGGTCCCATTTCGATCTCCCTCGGATTTGGATCATCGGGAGTCGAAGATGAGCAGTGGACAGTTGCTCTCTATTCGCCCTGAAGAACTCACCTTCGAGGGTAATTTCTTCTTTCCAATCCCCCCCCACTATTATTCTTTTTTTGAGGAACTTTTTATTTTGATTATGGCTTCTGGTTTTGATTAGTTGAGCTAGAGAAGCAGGCTTATTGCAGTGCCAAGGTCATCAACAACAGCGAGCACTATGTCGCCTTTAAGGTCCGAAACATCTTTGCTTTCTTCACTTTCTCTGAATCAGCTTGAGTATGAAAATTCGTATCAATTTTTGAGAAATTGGGCATTTCGCTAGGTCAAAACCACTTCTCCAAGGAAGTATTTAGTGCGGCCAACTATCAGCGTGATTCAGCCTTGGGATACAGGCATTATTATGGGTTTTGATCTAAATTCTATATACTGCTAATGTGCTTTTATCGCATTTTGTTCGGATTTTATTTGACGATTCCTTGTTTTGTTCTGATTAATAGTCACCCTTCAAGCTCAAAAGGAGTTGCCGCCAGACCTGGAATGCAAGGACAAGTTTCTTATCCAAAGCATTAAATTGCCGCCGCACCTTGTCTTTGAAGATATCCCTCCCGATTTGGTGCGAATGGATCTTTTAATTTACATACCTAGTACACAATTCTTAAGTATTTACATATCCCATTCTTAAACTTTCATATTTACATATATAGTAGTTTGGTGCTTTAAATCCTGCATGAGAATGTGTATTTCAATTTTAAAGAGTGGTAAAAGGGCCGCTTTTGACGTGATATGAAAGATTTGTGTACCATTTGTGCAAATTGAAGTTTTTGTGTGAGATATGTAAATACATATGAATTGTGTGCTGCATATGTAAATGTTCCTTGTTGTTTTTTTTTTTTAATTTACTTTCATGCTCTTTATGGTTGCATGCAGTTCAATAAAGATGATAACAAGGTGATTGAGGAATGTAGGCTTAGCGTCGTCTATGTTCCTGCCCGGTCTGGTATAGTAAAAATTGAGGAGGAATCAGAAGACACTGATGTGAGAGATCCTGATGCAAGATATCCTTCTTCTTCTTCTTTTTTTTCCTTCTTTTGGGCTTAAGATAATCTGTATGGATGATAAATTTTATTTTCATTTGTGAAATTGTAGATGGCGAGGAGACGGAGAGCTGAAGAGGTGAATGGCTGATTCGTTTTCTTCTATTGAACTGATATTCTGTCTTTAGTTCTTTCCACTTTTGCTTTTGCATGTATAGATCGATAGAAGTGCAGTAAATTATGGTGATATTCGGCCAACAACTGACCCGTTAAATTTTGTTATTTGTTTCATGAAAGTCTTCATTTTTTGTTTTTTTTATAAAGCTTCATGAATATCTTTTCTTCAGTAAAGTTGAATTAAAAATTTCCTTTTTACTGTTTAGAATATACATTAGGAACTAATGCTTACAACAGAACTTTATTTGTAATGATTAGAGAGTTTTTTACCTACTTTCCTGTAGCCAAATGCCCGTTATCTTTAAAATGAGTCCTTTAATTACATTGGTCGTCATTGAAGATTGTCTAATTTGTTTGTTATGCTATAGGGAATGTGCATTACTGCTATTTTGGGTTCATTTTGTAGGCTGCAGTTGCCTATGAAAGTAGGTCTATAATTGTTTTTGGATATTTCTTAAAAACCATCTCTGGTTTTATATTATTTTCTTAAAAAAAAACATTTTTTTTTGCAGATTTTTTATAGCTAGCACATATAGTTGTAAACGCCAATTTCACGTCTAGAAATTTTTAAAAAACATCAATACCCAAATAAAATTTAATGAGTTTCTGAAAAACGATGCTTTGAAAAAGTCATTTCTATGCAATTGGTTGGTAGTTTGAATTGCTGTAGAAGGTAAGCTCAAAGCTACATCAAAGAGAAAAATTATGATTGTCCCACTCATAAAGACACCAATTTCTAAGGTTGTATGGTAACAGTTTTAGCTGTTTTCGTAAATCCTGTAAATTCAGATTTACTAAATTCTATGAGCAGTATGATTTAGTAAATCCAGAATTTAAGGAAAGAACTGCGAACAATTTGAAAAGGACTGGATTTACTAAATCCAAGATTTAGAAATTGCCATTTTTTTTTCGTTTGGCAAGCTTTAAGTTAAAGCCGACTTAAATCCCTTATCTTACATCCTCCTATATTATATTTGTAATAGTTTAATATCTGTACTTGTTCTTGTTTAATATAGATATTCATATCTGTAATAGTTTAATGAGTCAGTGTTTAATATTCATATCTGTAATAGTTCTTGTTTAGAATTGTTCTTGTGACAATTCGATGAGATATTGTAAAACATACCGATTTTGAAATCATGCTTGCTTTTGCTGGGCAGGCATTGCGACGCGTACGAGAGGAACTAGATTTTACTCTTCAACAAAATAAACTTTTGCAGCACGAAATAGTATGTTGTTATTGTTTTCTCTTTGGGGCATTTACATACATAAAACCTAATTCATATCTATTTAGATATCTGGCTCCGAAACTTTATTTATTTTTACATTGATACAATCCAAATCTCTCATATTACATAAAAGTACAAGGTGAATTTCACATTTTTCATGCGCAAGTAAGATGACATACATGTAAAAATTAAAGTTTAGGTCTAGATAGTTAAAATACATAAGAATTTAGTGGGATGTATGTAGATCTTCCTTACTCTTTCATATTGGCTTGAATGGAGCTCATTTATTTCTTCAAATTCTATAGACTGCTAGTATTAGTTTGTTTTGCATTCTGTGAAAAGGTTGGGATTAGATGAGGAGTTAAGATTATGATAGGCTTATTTAAGTTTGATTTAGGAATATAGAACCTGAACTTCAAGACTTGGCTATGTATATTAAGTAAGGATTTCAAGTTTAGCAAAGGCAATTGGTCAATTAGGTAGGTTAGGATTTATTTATTTATAGAGAAGAATCATTAATCCCTCAATTTTTTACTTTGGAGGACTGATGAACCATGAAAATTACTGTTTTTCTCTTTGTAAAATTTATTGTATTGTACTCATCAGATTAATTCGTAATAACACCGAAGTGATACCCAATTAAGGACTATAATCACACAATTATTTTTTTTTAATGTAAACTTTAAGTGGCATTTATACATCTAACACCTAAACTTTACTTTTTACATTTATAACATCCAAATCTTTCATGTCACATAAAAAAATATCTCTATTTTAATTTTAAAGAAAATGAAAAACATATTTTTATACAGAGATAAGGTGGCATGTATGTAAAAGTTGAAGTTTAGGTGATATATATGTAAATACGTAGGAATTAAGTGGTGTGTATGCATATCTTTCTATTGTTAATGGACATTCATTTCTATGTATTTACATATTTAGCACCTAAACTTTACTCTTTACATTCATATTATCCAAATCTTTCATATCACATCAAAAAAATCACCATTTTAACTTTAAAAACATGAAACACACATTTTCATACATATATAAGGTGGCATGCATGTAAAAAATGAAAGTTTAGGTGTTAGATATGTAAATACATAAGAATTGAATGTTATGCATATAAATATTTCATTTTGTTGACTACCGTTCTGTTTTAAAGCAAAACATAGTTATTTTTTGTTCTACATGCCATGCCCTAAAGCTTTTGCCCTTTTTCCTTGTCCTGCGTTGCTTAGGAAAGGTAAATCTAAAAGGAAAATGAATTGCTCACATATTCCTCTTAAATTTAAATTAGGGACATTTACACAAATACAACCTAATTCCTATGTATTTACATATCTAACACCTAAACTTTGTTTTCTTTTGTTTTTTTTTTACATTTATGCCGCCCAAAACTTTACTCTTTACATTTTGTTATGTGATTATGAGCATTTTATTTCAGGAAATGCTAAGGAGCAGTAGCCGCAGTAGAACAGCTGCGAGCTTTTCACTGAGATTTGCTGCCATTGTTGGCTTGATTGGAGTATTAATTGGCATGTTACTAAACCTTGCGCTGTATCGGCGCTCTGCTGCTTGACTCAACTCGGTTTTGCTGCCGAGCTTTGGTTATTTAATTTCCATATTATTTTATTTCTTCGTTTGTTCCTGAACCAGACAGGTTTTAATTTTTTTTTTTTATTTTTTTGGATTATGTTGAAAATAATCTAAAAAATGGAATTTAATTCCATTGCAATTTTTTAAATGATTGTTTTATGAGAAATGAAAAGCTTATAATTTCATAGTGTTTATTTCATCTATATATTTTTATTTATTTTTAGGTGGGTTGAAGTAGGTAGGCAAGTTCTATGTATTTACATATTAACACTTGAACTTTAATTTTTGCATTATAACGCCCAAATCTTTCATATTTCATGCATAGGTAGAGTGGCATGAATGTAAAAAGTTAAAAGATTGGGTGTTAGATATGTAAATAAGTAGGAATTGAGCCTCGTTGTTGCCAATCTTTGATGTAGTATCATTTCTCTTAATCAGAATATCTGAAGTAAATATCCTTACTGAATGAATGCTGGTAGATGTAGAATTCATAAGTGGATTAGTCAGAGTCATAGCTAATTGATTATATTTTGTCAGTAAAATAAAATGTCATTATCATCGTCATTAATCTAATCCCAACTATGTTTTGAGCTGCTACGGTAAGGGCAAATTTGCTAAGTTGAGAAAGATGAGGGAATTGAGAGTGATGAGAAGTGAGAGAGGTGGGTAATTTTAGTTCGTTAAGTCATTCATTATCGCAATCATTTTTTTTATATAATCATGATGGTTCGCTGATGGCTGGACATGTGAGAAGATATGATTGGTATGTAACCAATCAAATACTAATATAAATCTACTTTATAAAATTATTATTTAAATGTATTATCATATAAATTTGTATATTTTGAGACTTGATACGCCATCAGTAAATTTTTATCATCTGACATAAATCTCGAGGTAAGATATGAATGTTGAGGAAACTTTTGGGTAAGATGTGTATAACCTTTAATGAAGAGTTATCTAGAATTATGATTTCAACAAGCTTATAGTCAAATCGATTGGTTTAAAAAGAAGGATCTAACAGTACCAAAATTAGTCATCAAATTAAGCTCAAATCAAGTCATTAAACTATGTTTAGAAGCTTTGCATGCATAATTGGAAGATCGAACGGATTTTGAATATGGTAAGCCTATAGTCAAATCGAGCGTCTCGACAAGATGATTGCAACGTGCCCAGTATTGTTTGATTTTGATATTATTTAGACACTCAAATGTTTATTGAAAATCGTCTGATGAAGAGAAACTCTTTGAGCCATCTAATCAGAGTGGTCTCGGTTCTTTTCTTATTTGTAATCTGGACCTTATTACCTCCCTCTTTCAAAAGAAAATCTTGAGACAAAAAAGCTTGGGGGAGGAGAACAAGTTTAACATCACTTTTAAACCGCGGTTCTCACAAATACCTCTCACTCTTATAGTCACTGAACACTGACGATCGCCGCACATCGTCGTCCACCTTTGAATCACTGCCCCTTGCAGACGCACGATATCCACTACAAATTTTGGGTGTACATTGCAGAGTAATGAGACTTCTTACTGAACAACACATCATACATACGACGCAATGACGTCTCTTGAATACGGTGTAGCAATGCACCCCGAATACGATGCAACAATACACCCCGATAACGGTGTAATAATGCACCAAATATACAGTGCAATGACGCCTCTCAAAGACGATGTAACAAAACGCCCCAAAGACAGTGATTTGCTTCAGACTCCCAAAGCGCTCTTTGCAACTCATCATTACGACCTATGTGACCAATCATCAACATGATTTGCAGCTTGTGTGACTGTCGACTCTGGCCCCTCTGCAATCTACTGACGTCATCACATTTCACCATTACGACCTATGTGACTAATTACAAGCTACTTGGTCAACAACTCGTGCAACTCCCAACTTTGACCTCTCAAACCTACGACATCATCACATCTTACCACTACGACCAACATGGCCTACTATAACTGGCGTGGTCCACAACTCGTTTAGTTATTTTACTCAAGCGTATGCAGCTTACAAACATCATCACAACTCACCACTATGGCCTACATGATCAATTACATGTGTAGCTCCTGACTTCGATCCTTGTGGTATGTGAACGTCATCACAACCCACCACTACAACTACATGATTACTTATAGCCTGTGTGATCTACGGATCATGCACCTACAAACATTATCACATCACCTACGCGACTAATTATAACATATCTAGTCCACAACTCTCGACTCAGACCCTACATTCTGCAGATGTCATCACATCTCACCATTACTTTCTATGTAACCAACTATGACCTACTTGCTCAAACACTCATGTAGCCGCAGATTCCGACCTCACGACCTATGAATGTCATCAAAGCTCGTCGCTGCAACATACATGATCAAATATGACATACGAGGTCCACAACTCATGTAACTCTCGACTTCAGCCTATGTGATCCATGGACATCATCACAGCTTACCACTACGGTCTGCGTGATCGCCTACAACTTCATGCAGCTCTTTAATTTTGGGAATTGCAGCTTACGAGTTTCATCGCAACTCATTACTATGGTCAATGTGATCAACTATAACTTAAGTGGCTCACATTTTGTGCGGCTCCAACTCCTACCTATGCATCATGCAGACATCATCACAACTGACAACTACTGCCAACTTGACTGGCTATGATCTACATTGTCCATAGCACGTGCAACCCTCGACTCCTGTCTCTGTGGTTTATGGATGTCATCACAGCTCAACACTACATCATATGCGACCAACTACGGTTTATGAGGTATACAACTCATGCAACTCCTGTCTCCCACCTTGTAGCCTACAAACATCGCCACAGCTCACTACTAAACCTGATGTGGTCCACAGCTCACATAGCTTCTGACTCTGACCCCTAAGACCTATAAACATTATCATAGCTCATTGTTATGGCCTATGTGACCAACTACAACCATTATGACTCATAACTCTTATAACTTCCTACTACAGCCTCTGTAGTCAACTAATGCTCCTAAAGCAACCATTTGCAACTCACACAACCAACTACTACCATGACTTTCAACTACGACTTTTACGACAATATGATGTTACAGTCACCATTTTAAACATTCATGGCAGACAACTGCCTCCATGGCAATTGACTACAACCTTTGTAGCCAATTGACGCTCTTAAAAGAATCATCTGCGGCTCACACATACTACTACTACCATGCCCATGACATATGTAATAAGTTGACATTACAATCATCATTTACAACATTCATAATAGACTACTACCTCCATAACAATCAATTATGACTCCTACAACCTGCTATCACCTAAAACTACATTCAATACAACCAGACTACAACTATTATCAATGAACTAGTGTTTTACATTTATAAGACCAACTTGGTGACCCCATCTTTTCTAATTTAGGAGAAAAAATGCGCATGTAATCACCATTCATATTATATTATTTCAACTGAACTTGGCTCTGTAATTTTATCACATTTCTAGGATTTTTCAATTAAAAATTTGAGGTGTCTCGTACTAATTTTTAATTATCTGGGCTTGTGTTGGGTTTTTGTGCAACCTTAAAACGATAATTCATTACTCTACCGCCGCCAACTTTCCAACATTTATTAGTCTGGCACCGTTTATGGGAAGCATAATCCCACCATCAAAGAACTTATAAAGCCTACATAATGACCAACATATGTTCTTGTTTGGTGCCGTTTGTGGGAAACGAAGTCCCATTCGACATTGTTTTCGCGTTTGAGACATCGGACCTCTACTTTTTTTCTCCTTGAAATACATCCTCCAACTCGTTAATAAACCTTCTTTAAACCTTTGAAGCCTTCTTCCATATGAAGGGACAACAATTATTGCAGTTTTGAAATATCGTTCACGTCAACATCCCAAGCACAATTGTAATGAGATAATCATCTTACATCTCATTCAGACATCAAGTCCATGAAAACTACTTTCAAGTTGGGGAATAACATTCGTTGCAGTCTCGAAAGGTAGTTCATGTTATATCCCAAGCACGACTATGAAGGGGTTGTTATTCCACATTTCATTTAGACGTCAAGTCTTCGAGGATCACTTCCATACTAGAAGCCAACTCCAAAAATAACGCTTCCTCGGAACCCGCCGCCATACCAGACTTCTTCATCAACTTTATCACAAAGTCGATCTAATCAAGGCTCGACACCAAACTTTCAAGCACTTGCCTCAGCTTTGATGTTGTGTATGTGGAAATGAGCCACGAGAGAGAATAAGAAAAGGGAGTGAAGATATGGTGTAAATCAAGGGATTTGATTTTATTATTTTTGGTTTTGCTGCTTGTGCGATAAAGACAGGTGCACACAATATGAAAGAAACAAATTTAAGTTTAAAGTCACAACATCAACGATGGTCTGCTAACATGACAAACTCACCGCTGGCGTGGTGACTTCTCGATATTAGAAAATTTATTTTTTAAGTGTCAAATTAAAGTAATAAATTTAAAAAATTTAGGCAATCTTATGTATTTTAAAACATTTTTTTTGCTACTGTTCCATGCAAAAACATTATGCCCAAAATTTTTAACAATTGAATTAACAAAGCAGGGGCTGTGATTATTGCTCATGTTTGGGAAATATCTCATTTAGTAAAAATAAAGTATAATAATATTGAGCTGATTTTGCTCCTAAAAAGCCACTGTTCATTATCTTCTAGTTTTTTAACTAACATATTGGCAATTATATATATATATATTATAGGTATGTATATATATATACATACATACATATATATATATATATAGGTATGTATGTATATATACATACATACATACATATATATATAGGTATGTATAGATACATACATACATATATATTATATATGTATAGATGTATGTATGTATGTAGATATGTATAGATGTATGTATGTATATATGTATGTATGTATGTATGTATGTATGTATGTATGTATGCATGCATGCATGTATGTATGTATGTATGTATATATGTAATATTAAAAACATATCATCAACCATCAATTTTATTAAGGGGCATAATTAGTGACAAAATCAACATTATTTTTAGTACGAACTAAACAATGACATGTCTAATCTTTTGTAAGTGTTGGGCAATTACTTGAGCAAGGCAAGACAATTGCCCATCATGGAAAAAACCTGGTTCCTTCCCTCTGAACATTTACATGCATATCATCGAATTCCTATGTATTTACATATCTGACACCTAAAATTTGCTTTTTATAATTATATCATAAAAAAAAATTTATATGACATAACAAATACCACGATTTGAACTTTTTAAAATTGAAATTGAGCTTTTGACAAAAGATAATAACTAACTAAATAATTATCATAATTTAATGTGCCGCTTAAGTTGTTATATTAATCAATTTGATTAAGTAATCTATAATCAATTTATAATTATAATATTGTCGCACTTAGCCCATTAATCGTGATTTTATACTTACTACCTCCTACAACATTTAGAAGCAAATGATAGTCACTCAACTCGCCGCCAAACTTTCAAGCACTTGCCTCTGCTTTAATAGATATTATTTGGTTATGGTTACATATTTAGGAGTTTAATTTTTCAACTTTATCCAAATTGACTTCACCGTGGTAACATATCTGCTATGACAATTGTAAATAATCATTTGATTCATGTACGCATAAAACATATAAAGATAGATTACGATTTTATCGGAGAACATCTCCTTTAAACCCTTAGTCAACATAAATCATATCACTTCCTAGGATCAACTGCCTATGTTCGTCCTCATCATAGACTTCAACTTTAAACTCTTCTCATATATTTCTTAATGCAATGAAGCCTCCAATGTATATAAAACACCATTGTTACTTCTAGAGAGATGAAATAATGTAATCCAACATATTATATTTACAACCACAAGTTTTTGTTTCTTTATTGTGTAGCTCTTAGTTTTATTATAACTAGATATAACTATGTACCTTTAACTTCCCTTTCCTACTATTATGGAGATTAAAGGATGCTCAACAAAATTTTATTCACCATAATTTAGGAGTTTGAAGTGCTATAAATATTACATGCCTAAATGCAAGTTCGACCAAGGCTTCAAGAAAAACTTTTATAATAAATATAAGCAAATCCCTATATGATAGCCTCGTCATAAGTCCTTGAGTGTATGTGAATTGTTGCCTTAACACGTGTTTCAAACACTTTTGTGATCGAGTAATAGAGGTCATCAACTAATTAGTAGAATTCATGTGAATTGAAAAATAGAATTTTTAATCTTCTAATTAAATACTCGTAAGTCCAGCTTTGGAACAACAAAGTGCTCCCAAGATTGAGAGAAATTTTGCATCAAGATTATGTAGGTACAACTGGTAGTATTTAGGCGTTATTGATAGTATTATGATGTTATTTTACTATCATTCACACATAATACTATCAAAAATACCTAAAATACTATCATTCACACATAATACGAACTCAGCTCATCCGATTGTAATAATTTCTCCAAGATTGGAGCCAGTTATCTTCACTCTTCAGGCTGGGCAAACAACTTCTAGGTTGAGGCAATCGCTTTTTGCCTATGCGAGTGTCTGATTCTAGTGCCCCTCACAGAAAAGCAGCGCGGGACAATTGCACGTGCCGACAGTCGAAATTCACACGAGCCAAATTTCGCGATTTCCCGCCTTTCCCAGGCTGCAGTGTGGAGCTTTCGAACACTGGCCTCAGCGAGCATATTCATGGCCCCGCTCTCTCTCTCTCTCTCTCGCTCTATGTTACTCTTGATCCTCTAATCCTCTCCCATCACCCTCGCAGTGGATGGAAACTCTAAACCCTAGCTCGACGATCCATTCCTTAACGCCAGATCCGAAACCCTAGTTCACCATCAATACCATATTCACCCATGGCGGACACTGGAACGACATCCGGCATCGTCCCTCTCAATTATACGGAAATCGAAACGGCCTGGCACCTATTCACCATCCTGATCCAGCAGGGCAGCCCCGCCCGGCTAACTGAGCTCGCCTTGAGATCAGCCCTAGGGCCAGTTCTCGTGGAGATCTCTAGCCGGCTTTTGGGATCTCCGTTGAAGTTTACTTTCGGCGGCTTCATTAGCTCATCCGATTTGGCAATCACGGCTTTTGGGGAGTTTGTGAGAAGAGCCGCTACATGGTATGTTCCGAGAGACGCGTTTTGGGTTTCGGATCTGACGAGGGGCAGCTTGAAGGTTTCATTTACATACGTTAGGAAGAGAAAAGCTCCGAGTTTGGGCAACGCTGCTGTATTATTCTCAAGCTCGAAAAGAAGGACTCTGCTGACTGATGGGAGAGGTCTGTGCGTGCATACGGAACGGTCAGGTCGAGTTAGATTTTATAATAAACTACTAAGCTTTGTTTAATTTGATTTACTGAATCTTGATAATTAGCAAAATTCTATTGGTTTTGTCTTTCTTTTTAAATTTATGTCAGCTTCTAATTCAGTCATCAGATATTTTTAATATGAAAGAAAATACAATGCTTTTATACATATCATTGAAATTCAGATCCATATAGTTTCGATTAAAATTGCAGTTTATCTGACTGTATTTGTTTGAGCTAGATGACAGACAATTCTAGGCCTATGCAGCCCTCAACGATTTTTTTCTTTTTTCTCTTATCACTGCAGGTGAGGTAAAACCTATGAAGGTTGAAGGGCTGCCAAAGCTTTTGTCACATTTTAATGAAATTCCAGGGAAGGTAATATCCCAATCTTCCTCTTTTTGTTGTCAAATTAAGAAAGTGATCTGTCCTACATGAATAATGGCCGAACTGACTTATGGATACACTTCGTGTATAATTTTCTTATATCAGTGATTGATAAATCATATAACTTGTTAAGTTTCCATCGTAAATACTTCATTGTCGGGCATCAAATATTATTGTTGCATTCAAGTACGGTTGTTCATTATTCCTGCCATAAAACATATTTTACAGCTCTTGCCGGGCAAAGCAAATAGTTCTTTGGCTGTGCTGTATAACATGTATTTCTAAGAAATTTATGAAATATCCAAATTTTCTTTATGTACTTGGCCTGAAGATTATTCACACTATGCTTTATAGTTTGCATTTTTTTCATAAAACCCAATGATGTTTAATAATTGAATATTTATTTCTTCACAAAAAGTGTTATACTTATAATTCCTGATAACTTCCATTGCGCTATTGAAGCATATATTCTAGATGGACAGTGCTCAATGCTTATTGCTTTACGCTAATAATTTTTTACATGGTCATGCAGGAAAATTTTGATTTTGCTAATCCTTCGGGCAACTACCAGGATTCAGTTGGCATGAATTCGTTTGATTGTAGTGCCGCTGGATTAGACCAAACATGCAATTCACCCATGTCCCTCGACAGTTTAAGTTGTTTTGAATTGAGAAATTTTAGCTACACCAAAGAAGAAGGCGCCAGGGCAAGTGACCCTTATATTACAAATTCTGTGGCTCCTCAGAAGAAAGTTATTGACTTTCTAGATGATAATATTTCTCTTGATGTTGAACTTGATGCTAATATCATCAAAGAGCATCCTTTTAGAAGGTTTACTGCGTTGGAGCCTGATTTTAGGCCTTTGTCGAATCAGTCTTCACCAGCCAATCAAACTCTCAGAAAAGACTGTAAAACTGTTTCTTTTGAGTTTGGGTTCATTGCTGGCATTCCTGCAGAGCTCAATGCCGTAGAGCTTGATTTTGAGAGATAGAGATTGCCGGTGGACCAAGTGCTGGATCAGAATCCTCAAACTCAAAGCGTTTCCTCTCCTTTGGCATGCAATAACCAAATTGTTGTTGAAGCTATCAATGAGATAAAGTTGCATCCCATGGATGAGAAAATAATTAATTGTCAGTTAGAGATAAATGAAACACCGGCTTCTAAATCAGCATATTTTCAAGGGAAGGAAATGTCAATGTTGACCTTTGAACTTGGTGATTGTGACGGAAATTCTGCAGTAATAGGTATTAACTACTATCTGGTAATTTATGTCTTAATTTTATACTTCTTACCATTTTTGATAATTCTCCAAACATAATTTATTTCACTACCTACCTTGATGGTTGAATCTGCTGATGCAGCCGAAGACAAACGGAGAACTTTTAACGAACCTAGCATAAAAGATCAAGTTGCTTCAGTTGGCAAGCAAAATTTAATCGGGCCGAACATTGCAAGCAATTGCATGTCTTCTACAAATCAGAAAAATAGTACTTTTGAGGTTGGTTTAATTGTCAAGCAGAAGCTAAAAAATGTTTGCAGTGCTAATATGCCTTCTAAAGAAAATAGGGTGTATGCTTTTACTAAGGTTACTAAGGTAAACCTTTTTTCAAGTACTAGTTTGCTTGCATAGTTACAGTAGTAAACTTTTAATTTATGTTTGAATTTTGCATCTTTTTGGCTTTTGAATAACGTTGGTGTTCTTGCAAGGATGAACATTTAGCGCATGCTTATGTTTTATAGTTTATGGCAATCTTCTGCAGAACTCTTCAGATCAGAAGTTGTCGCCAAATTTTGAATCATTTATCATACAGGAAGAAGAGGGTTCAGGTAAAACTTGAAAATAGGTATACCAAGGACATACATGCCGTTTAATGAAATAATTGATTGCAATATTTTTGTTTTTTTTCCTCCACATCTGAAAAACATACATTCAGGTGGCTATGGCACTGTGTACAAGGCTCAAAGAAAAGAGGATGGGAAAATATTTGCTGTTAAATGTATGTAGGCAGTAAACTCCGCATCTTCAATGAATTTTGACTTAGTTATAGATGTGTAGTCACATCCCATTACCTTTATTGGCATTTTTCAAGTTATAATTTTGTTGAAAATTTATTTACTTTATTACATTTGGTTCTTGTGCTGCCCTTGCCCTTGCTTTGGTCCTGTAGTTTTGTCACTTCATGCTCAATGCATTAACACTTCATGCAGCAGAACTTATAACCTAGAATAACCAAAGAAAACTAGAAAGTAAAAGTTTTGAGCTGATAACTCAATTATTTCTCAGCAAATGACATCCAACAATTTTCTGCCCTTGTTGGCATTGTTTTTTGTTTTGTTTTTACTTTTGTTTTTTGAAAATATGTTTAATTAATATAAACTTGTTATATTTTTATTTTTTATTTTAACAAATAAATCTTATTTTTAAATGTACTCAAAACATCTAAAAGATATTTGAGTGTTTTTAAAAACATATATAAAAATCAAATATGTTTTAATTCAAATCAAAATATACAACAACAACAACAATAACAACAAAATCTTTATCCCACTAAGTGGGGTCGGCTACATAAATCCTTTTTCTCTATTGCGCCCTATTTAGTGTCATATTTTTCATGTAATTCTAATAAATTAAGATAATATCAAAATGAAAAATAAAAGTGATCCCAAATCAAAATATAAGCAAATAGAAATAAAAATGAAAAATAGAAATGATCCCAAATGGGGTCTTTATCTATGAAAAACTGTCGAAAGTTACGTGGACTGAATAACATTGTTGCATGTAGGTAGACTTCATTCCCTTTAAGTTAGAACCTTTATACTTCCAAACAAGTTTGGCATTAAGGAATTGAAATGCAAGATCTGACTTTGGTTCTTGGTTACAAATAGTCTTGGACTTTACATTATTTGATGAAATGAACTTGAATAATATTTCTTATCCATACATTTTTAAATATAAATTGATGCTCCGAATTACTTATCGTGCTTGCGTAAAAAGTTTTGGTAGATTAATCGATTGCACATGGTCAATTTTATTAGACAAGTTTTGCATTTCTTACTTGTTTTTTTGGGTTTTATTATTATGTTCTTGATGACCTGGTAGATTGTGAAAGATCGTACTTTTTGACCTCCTGGCATTTATTATGCTGCTGACTAAGATGGAACAATTTTATTGGAGATTTTGTTGATGAGTGAAAACCTTACTAACTATTAACTTGGAAGCCCAAGACACTTTATGCTTGAAAAATTGAGGCTGCGATCACTACTGTATGTATTTGACAGTGAAGTTCTTGCACAAAGAATTTAGTAACACAAAAATTTACTTATGTCCTCATAGACCTCTTCCTAGACGTTGATTTTCTTAAGGACTTGTTTCTTGGAAACTTGTACTGCATATGCTGTTTGTTAGCTGCATTATTTTAGTTAATTGCACAGAGCTGCATTGAATTGAATGAGGATAAAACCAATACTAAATTGTCGGGATAAGAATAACAACAATGAAGTTTGATAATGATGTTTGTCACTTTTATATGTGAACTAGAGGCTATCTGATATCCATCTCATGTAGAGTTAAAGTTCACATGTGTTTTTTCTCCTGATACACCACGTATTGAATTTATTTTGGAATATGGTATTCTATCTGCTGATTTAGGAGGCGCTCGCAGCTCCTGCAGACTTCCGCTGCTTTCTTTCCCTGCAGGCGTTTGTGACTCCTGCAAGCTTCCGCTGCTTTCCTCCAGAGCAGTCGCACTTTCTCGCTCAGCCCTAGTAGGGAATCCCTAGATTTTCTCTCTAGTGGAAATCATAATCGGGTCCATGCAGTTTGGGAGCGTGCTCTGACGGCAATCCTCGCTCCCACGACCGCCACTCCATCTCTTCTGTGCAAATGCTGTGTCGCTGACGGACAATTTTTCTATCCAGGGGAATTCCTGTTGTCGCCGGCGATAAACAATTTGTGCCGAGTCTTGCCGAGGACTGACAATTTTTATCTCTAGTGGAAATCTTAAACGCCTACCGACATCTCCTGATCCTAGAAATTACTTTTGAAACTGAACGTGGGTTGTTATGTCGTACAAAATTTAAAATCTCTTTTTGCATCACTAATCACAAGTTGTATTACAATGACCTTTTCCATTGGTTCCCAATGGTCTTTTTTAAGATCCGTGCTAAAGAAAAAAAAATGATGTATCTCATGTGAAAAAAACTTGCAAAAGAAATTATTGATCCTAAATATTCGACATGAAAGATTGAAGATCACATAATCATATAATGACTTGTTAACTTCATGATCATAAAAATTGGAGAAAACTTTCTCATGTGCAAAATAATAAAAGAAATCTATGTAATTGTTGGCAACGACTTGGAATTTTTTGACATTGAAACTAGATTACGCTACCTATGACAGGATGAGTTGAATATTACTCAATACTTCAATGCTCTTTCTAGATGTTGGTTTTAACTGATATGTATGAAACATCACATAGAAGTGCTCCCAAGACTACCCATTTTTACAAAATCATTGTTGAACGAAAGAAAACCTTTAATTTTCTTTTATGACTAAACAAAAAAAATAGATCAAGTTAGAGGAAAATTCATGGGGACAAAATCTATTTTCTCAATTTGTGAAGTCATTGCTGAAGTTCAAAGGGAAGAGAGCAGAAAAAAAAGTCATGATAACCAGGAATTACATTACGTCCAATGTTGACAATTCAACTCTATACACTCACAAATCTTTTCAGGATAACAAACCAAAGAGAAACAACTCATGGTGTGAACATTGCAAGAAACTTAGTCATTTGAAGGAAACTTTATGGAAATTTTTTAGATTTGAGGCTCAACAAAGTCAAATGTGATGGAAAAAGTTAGGAAAACACAATATCAAATGAAGACAAGCCTCACGATCATAGACCATTCAATAAGAAACAACTTGAAGCTCTCCAAAGGCTTCTGGGGTAATATTTCGAGCCTTCTAAGACACCATGATAATCTTTCATTTGCTCTTGTTGCTCTCAACATAAAGAATTAGCCTTGGATAGTGGACTCTGGACATCTGGTAACATGGCAATGATATCACTGTTTTTCAATTCTTCTATTGTTGCAAGCACCATGTTGCACTTAGAATCTCAGATGAGTCAAATATTGTACCTAACTTTGTTTCTCATGGAGTTAATTTATGTTATGATATTTTTAATTTGTGCATCCTAACCTCTATTATATTGAAAAAAATGTATCCCTATTTGTTTATCAATAAAAAAAATTATTTTCTACCAATGTGAAACTTGCTTACTTGCGAAATACACTTAACAAATGTATCAAAGCCTGAAATACAAACCAACACATTCTTTCGTCATCGTTCATAGTGATCTCTGGGGGTCCTCAAAAATAGAAAATACAAATGAAACTAGGTTGTTTATCACATGCATTGGTGATCATATCAAAACCACTTGGACATTTTTTATGAAAAAGAAATCTGAAACTGCAGGCATATTTGAAAACTTTCACAACATGATTCGCACTCAATTTCAAATTAAAATTTAAACTATCAAAACCAATAATGCAAAAGCCAAATACAACTCCACTCTTGACCATTATCTATTAAAAAAATGACATCATTTATATTAGCTCTCATGTTGGTGCACGTCAGCCAAATAGTTTGGCTGAGAGAAAGAACAAACATCTTCTTGAAGTTTTCATTTAATTCTATTCACTAATAATGTAACTAAACACTTCTAGGAGATGCAAATTTCACATCCTCCTATTTCATAAACAAAATGCTAGACAGAGTGCTAAAATTTAACAAACTTTTCAATATTCTCATAAGATCCTACTCCATTATTCAATCATTCACTTATAACCTATCATCATAATTTTTTGGTTGCATCGTTTTTGTTTCATCAACATCAATCTTATCAAACTAAACTTGATCCTAGGTTAGTTAAATTTATCTTGGTGGGTTATTATTCAAGCAAAAAGTGACAAATGCTACTCTTCAGAAACATGAAAATTTTAAAACTTAATGGAAGTCACTTTTTTTGAAAATCAGCTATATTACCCTAAATGTAACATTTCAGAATAGAGTTGGAGAAAATATCAGATTTGGGGTAGCATTCATTAACCACAAATTCACCTCTCTTACTCATTATCATAAATCAACCTGAAAATGAACCTATTACTCCACTAAATCCTCCCATAGCTCTCACCAAAATCCAAGTAGTAAGAGTGTACATAAAAAAAAATAAAACTCTAGAGAGCATCTAAGGGATAATATGCAAAAACAAGAATGCAAATTACCAGAAATCCCGAACAACGCCTACTCCCGATCGCGAACGGCGCCTACTCCCGTTCATGAATCGACGCGATCCTTCCCGCCTTCGCTTCTCCTATATTCGCGAAACCGCTTAAGAAGGCTTGGATTGCTCGCTCGCAAATCACTTGCTCTCCCGTTTCCGTCTCTCCAGATTCACGAAATCCACGAGACTTACGGGAACAGAAACAGAAAGGAGATTTCTTCTTTGATTCTTCTTGAGACTTACGGGAAGCAGAAGAAGGAAGAAGAAAATAGTGAAGAAGAAGGTATTCTTCTTGGTGACTTGTGGCAGAAGAGAAACATGTTTTCTCTTGTATATTTTTCTTTTTCTTCAGTGTTCTTGCTCTTCGGTAAATTTTGGTGTAAAGAGAAAGAGCAAGTGAGAGATCCTTCATTGCCTTTGTGATCAAACTGATGTAAATTTCCTCAATTAGTAAAATCCTCTGCAACTCCATAGATGTAGGCAATTTGCCGAACCACGTAAATCTGTGTGTTCTTTTGGTGAATTTTCTCGTGCTATTTTATTCGCTTCGTCGTCAATCGTTTTAAATTTCATATACACCACAACAACTAGTATCAGAGTCAATGACTACAGACGAAGTGAAAATTTCAGGGATCGAGAAGCTCGATGACACAGATTTTGGTTATTGGAGGATGCAGATTGAAGACTACCTCTATGGGAAGAAACTTCTT